CTTTGTTTGTATATCTCGATCCTTGAATTTTTGATAAAAACCAATAGGTATTATTAACGCGATTTAAATGTCCTACTGATTTAGAGACTATTTACACGATTCGAGAAATCCTTTTTGTACGTTATTTCTACGTTCACCTGTAATTTAACATTGTCCACGTTATTGTAGCGAATAGCGTATATCGTTGTATGGTGATCTTTATTTTTAAACACATTTTTATTATCGTTGGTAACGTTAAGGGTACTTTAGCTCGCCTGTAACCGAGAAAAGTTTCAAGTACTTTATTATTGTATTTGGATATAGCAATGTTGACTTGGTTTCCTTTATTTCGTATTTTTCTGTTTTGTTAATGAATTTCTATTCGTACAGTTAAATGCAAATTATGCATATTTGAACGATTTCGTTTCGTGTCTATTTTTTTTCACACATACATTTTCAGCATTACGCTTACCACACATACTCTATACATATACATAAATACATACATGCATACATGGTTTTACACAATTGACATGTACACAAACGTAGCACATCCTTCTCCCTTACTTCCTTATAAACTCGACGAACGATTCGAAGATCGAAAGAACCGAAGGACCTCGATCGGGTGTACGGCAAAAGGACTTTATTTGGTATTATTATTGTTCATATATAAGATTAATAGAACGTGCTCTAATATCCGGTGTTGTATATCCGGTAAAAAAATTTACAATTTTTTCCTTGTATCACGTAATTTTTTACATATATCTATATATATATATATATATAAAAAAATAGATTTTTAGTAACTCTGGAACTGACACGAATCAAATCCACGTTCGATCTCTACGAATTTTTATTCATTCGGTAATAATAAACGATAATTGATCGAAATTTATTAAATTTTGCATTTTGCATACAAAATTACCGTGTGTCCTTCGAGGGAAAAAAAAAATAAATAAATAAATAAATATATAAACAAACGAAGTGGACTTGATTCACTTTTGAAATGAAATCATGTATAGATTTTTTTAAATATTTCCACTGGATACTGGAAAGGAATAGATGGAGGAGAGAATGGAAAAAAGGAAGAAAGGAGGGAAAGGAAAAAAGAAAGAAAGTAGGAATGAAGAAAAAGAACGCGTAGAAAAGGAATAATAGTTTTTATCGTTTTTGATTTGTTACAGTATTAAAGTTAACGTTAAAAAAGGACGATCGATCGATCGTAAGTCCGATATTAAGGTCCGATCGATCGATCGTTGATACAAGATCGATGTGTCCGACTGAATTAAACGACGATCCAGGGAAACAGCGTCTGAAAAGAATTATTGCGCTGCAAAATCTTAGGATATTGCACACATTACGCTTAACGTAACTTTAAGTAAGTAACTACGCTTAAGTGAAAAGAAAAGGAAAAAAAAAAAAAAAAAAAAAAAAAAAAAAAAAAAATGAAAGAAAGGAAGAAAAAAAAAGAAAAACACATTTGTCGATAATTTGATGATTGCGCTGATTCGTCTTTTTTCTCCTCGTCACGTAGATTTATATCGTAGTTAAAAAAAAAGAAAAAAAAAAAAAATTGATTAGGGAAATTTTACAGATGAAACGAAAAAAAAAAAAAGAAAAAAAAAATGTATCTCCTTTACCTTTCTAATAATACTTTTTCCATCGAGAATTTTTAAATAAAGACCAAACACTTTATGCAATCACGGTCAACGATTTTTTTTTTTTTTTTTTTTTTTTTTTTTTTTTTTTTTTTTTT